TTCTGAAAATTGGCAGTTATCATTCATCTACTTTATTTAAAATGTCTGGTAAATTGAGTAATAAAATTTTTGATACACTCTGGGATTTGTTGAAGGAAACATTTCCCAAAGCCATGACTAATTTAACGTCTTCTTATTATTCGGCTGACAAGTTGATCAATTAGTTAGGTTTCAAGCATAAAAAGTATGATGCTTGTACAAATGATTGCACTCTTTATTAGGGTTGTGATAAAGAAAGAATTTATGTGAAGCATGACAAAGAATTTTTTGTGAATCATGCAAAGAGCTTAGGTCGGCTATCTCGAAAATTGATCCAACTTGTGAGAAAAAGAAAATTTTCTCATCAAGTATTGTGGCATTGTCCCCTTGAAGCTAGATCATGGAGACTGCGTATGTCCTCTAAAACTACATCTCACATGAGATGGCATAAAGAATAATGTACAAAAGATGGTTATATTAGACATACATCAGATTATCTTGCTTGGCCAACTTTTGATCATCAACATCCAGAATTTGTTAAAGATTGTCGACATGTCAGATTTGGGTTAGCATCAGATGAATTTAATCAATGTAGAAATATGAATCCTTCACACAGTACTAGGCCCGTGGTCTTGATGCCTTACGATTTACCTTCATGGATGTGTATGAAACAATCATATTTCATGTTATCATTGTTGATACTTTCACCGTATTCTCCTAAAAATAACATTGATATTTATCTACAACTTCTGATTGAAGAGCTGATTGAGTTGTGGGATGTAGGTCTTCAAACTTATGATGCATCAAAAAATAGAATTTTCAATTGTATGCGGCATTGATGTGGACAATTAGGAATTTTCTAGGATATGCAATGCTGTCAAGGTAGAGTACTAAAGGTGAATAAGCATGCCCTGTCTGTCACAAGTTACTCGTGCACGGTGGCTAAGGCATGGTCTCAAACATTGCTACTTGGGCATCGTAGATTTTTAGATGGTAAACAAAAGTTTAGGAAGGATAGCAATTCTTTTAATGTTTCAGCTTTTTCCTTATCCTTTTCTTTTTACTTTTCAATGTATTTGCTAAATACATCTTCTGTTTTGCAATTGATCAAGGGTATGTTTCTCATAGCTATGGTTGTTGATTCCAGTTTAGGCAAATCTTTTTTTTTACCTATATATTGTTTAAAGCTTCTAAATTTTGCTTTCTTCATGTTTTCAATTGATTTATATGATAAGTTTTATTTTTTTTTCATTTAAAAGGTTAAAGGGTTAAATTTCATGGGTAAAAGTAGCTAATTGATACAATTTGACTTGCTATATTTGTCAAATAGATTGAATTCATCTTCCAAAACCAAGTTTTATTGTGAAACTTTTGGACCAGGTATGTACTATTATATGGCTCGTAACCTCACGAGTTATTTCATTTTCCCTGGCATTTATACTGTTGCATGGTGAAATGGGAGATAAACAAATCACTCTAATGTGTTTTTTGTGCTGACATCCTTAAGAATTCTGCTGTTTTATCGTATTTTGTTTTCTTTTTGTTTTCTAATGTTTGCATATATGCTCTTTCAATTTATTTGTTAGATTCTTCTTCTTCTTCTTCTTCAGTTTTTCCTCGCAATCTATCTTTCTCGAATCTTGATTTTTGACAAACTTTGCTTGGCCACGTTTATTGTTCAGTTGATAGAAAAAGTTATCGGAACTAAACCTTTGAACCATGAAGGAAAATTAAGAAAGTCTTGGGTTTTACACAGTAGTAGAGGCTCTCTGCTCAAGCACAAAGGGTTTCTAGAAGTTATTAAGGTTTAAAAAAAGGTAACTCCTATTTCTTTTAAAGCAGAAAAAAATGGAAATATTACCATGATGTTTGTTTCATTATATGCTTTTGACTACTGAAGCAATACCAAGTATATAGGTAAACTTCAACTATTTCCATCCCTGTTGCAACATTTACTTGGACAGTTGGCAAGCAACCTGTTAAAAGTTGAATTTCAATCGATGGGCAATATTGAGCATCAACAGTTAAGTACACAAAATGCCCACGACCAAGATAAATGGATGTATTTGAACGGAATGATGTTTTGTGATAAAATCATATAATTTTCATGTCTTTCAAAAAAAGCTTCGCTTCGTAGCTCGCTGCATTTGTTCTTATGGATGTTTTATTTGATTTTGATGCTTTCTAAGAACAGCTGCTACAAATTTGCCCTTTTTCCTTTTGCTATGGTATATTCTTTGTACTCTTGAATGATGGCAACATTGCAAGAATTTTTTAAGATAGTAGTTAAAGAATCAACTTTTAAATTACATTCGTCATTTACACCTTAAATGATATATTTCCCTTTTCTCATTTCTTCCTGAGATTTTTTTTTTGGCTTTTCTTAAGCTCTTAGTTTATTTTCCTTTTTTATTTACTTTGGGTTTTTTATCTCCATACATCTCACCTATGAAGTTTAAAATTTGCCCTTTTCTTTCCATACATCTCAAGGGTGGGGATTGTTTTGCTGCTAGTTTGATTTCTCTTTGGCTCAATGTCATACATTCCCTCCTCTTCTACTCAATAACTACATGAACTATTATTATGAGCAATTGATGAAGTTCTTGTGATTCTGTGTTTTTCTCCTCTCTATTAATCTTTTCTTGCCTTTTTAAAAGATTTTAATTTCTTCAAATAAAAAGAAAAGAGCCAAACCAAATACTTGGTTAATTGGTCAACTGTTAGGAGACGTGACTCGCTACTCCATGGTGAACTTTTTGGAAGTCTAGCAAAAGCGTTTTTTAGTTAATACTTTATGATCTTGTCTGTACATACATGGAAAAAGCAAAAGTTAGGCTGGATAAAAAAGAAGCAACCTCACCTAAGGCTCATGTAATACATTTCGTGGATGAACGTCACGATTCTCAGAGTCATTCAAGTTTGGTGCATGAACATCACCTAAGGAATTTTCCAAACATTGTTGTTCTTAATTGACTCATCACCATCATAATCTAGTTATCTGAGTCACTATCATCATTATCATCATATAAGTTTTCATCAGAGGTGATCCAGTAGTAGTCACTCTCACTGCTACTGCTATCATAACTACTGTCATTGTCATCGTCGTCTTCATCATCATCTCCTTCTTAATGTTGTTTCTTGGAAACCACATTTTTAAGTGGCCATTGTGCCTTAAACAAGACATTGTACCTCGACCAGGAACAATCACCTCTTCCTCAGAAAAAAGGTGGCATCATTCATGTCAAGCATATAGTAATTTAAGTGCATACCTTCATTAAAAGAGATAAGCAAGAAATTGGTGGTGGAAACAATCATGGCTTACAATGCATGCATTTATCTGTGTAATCCAACCTCTGTCTCTAGAGGATTTTCGTGAACAATTTTTGATTTGGCATCTTTGACAGATATTGCACCATGCGCGCAATTTGTTGATAGTCTTGGTAGTACTTTAGACAAATGTAGAGAATGGGGAAAACAATGGTGATAGCAGGTTGAAGCATTTCTAAAGTTTTGGGTCATCAGATGTGTGTGTGTATTTCAAGTTTTACTCATGAAAAGCCAAATGTTGGCCTCGTTTGGCAAGTGAGTTTTTTGGATATTTGTCTAAAACTTTATTGTAATTTACTGTAGAAGTTATAGAAATTTTTTTTGAAATATGTAAATTTTTGGATATTTTGAAATGCATAGTTTAAAAACTTTGAGAAGTTTTTTTAGGTTATTATAACTAAAGTTGTTAAAAAATTATAGCAGACAAACTTGGCAAACAACTTGCTTGCCAAACAAGGCCGTTATTTTCAAGTTTACAATAAAATTATGCACTATAATTGAGGTACAATTTTTGTTACCTAAACCCTTGAGAATTTTTGACTATATATTTTTATTTTTATTTTTTTATAATAGGCAATATCTATATTATTCCTACTCTAACAGACACTAAGGGAGGACTCAACTAGGCAATGGGAGGTTAGAAGTAGAGGATCCCATCTTTTGACCAAAGGGGTGTATTATTGCATACTTGGATTTTATTCTACATTATTATTCCTAAACTAACACTTGGAGAGGACTCAACTTAGTCATGGGAGGCTAGAGGTAGAGGATCCCATCTCTTGACTAAAGGGGTGTACTACTGCACACCCTTTTAATTTTACTACAAGTATATAGGTTTGAACCTTGGAGTTGGAGGCAAACTAGCAACTGATGTTTCACATAATGACCAGATCTCGTATGCCGAGTTGCTTGAGTCTTTGACCATATGCCAAAATGAAAAAACTTCATTTTGGCATCGATTTCTTGGAACCAGTTGGACAGCTTCGAGTGAATATCGTATGCTCATATAAGATTGAGTTTGGGGTCATTTGTGTTGTGAACTTAGGCTCTTTCGACTACTTGATTTTGGAGTTATTTGTCTTTGAAATTTTGGCAGGAGATAAACGCTGCATGTGGTGTAAGTTGTTAATTTTGAGAGTTGGGATAAATTTGTGTATTTGTTCTGCTGTGTGGACTCATTCTGCCTTTGTTTTGGGGCAGGTGTCTTTGGGGCTGTCTAGGTATTTTGATTTGTGGGTGGATATATTTGTGCAAGTTGTACAAGCAGGTGAAGTTATAAATGTGAATGAATTGACAAATTTATACTTTATGTGGTGGAAAATTTTGTTACAACTTAATCACTCTATTTGCTTTAAATGAAGATAATCATTCTCTGGTAACTGCTACTAGTAGAAGAAGGTTATAATGATGGTGAAATTTTCTATTATGCCCTTGCATGCTCACCCAAGTCTTCCAATGTGGTGTCGCATTCACGTGGGATCAGATTAATTTTTTACTTTGATGTGGTTATTTATTCAAACACATTTAGAGCTCCCATTTTTGTAGTTTTGGTTTTGTTTTTGGCTTTTTGTGTATTGTGCATTTTGTCTATTATTGAATTATATACATTACTTGTATAATTGTTACAATTGTTACCGAGACAAATCTACTACTTAAAAAGTGTTTGGTTGAACGGAAAACATTTTCTCAAAAACGTTTTCCTAATTTTTCACTGTTTGGATTCAATTTGATTTGAAAATATTTCTGACGAAAAATAACTTACACCGAAGAAGGAAAATAGCGTCCTTTACTTTCTTAAAATCACGGCCTCTTCTTTTCATAGCTTTCACAGGATTGAAGACCAATGATTGAAAACCCATCGGCAAACCAATTCCTTCTTCACTGGCAGCATCTCCAGTTCCGGCGAAAACCCATTTCCAGAGGTAGGCTACTCTTTCAATTAGGTTATTATCTTTTTAAAAATCAGCTAAATTATCATCTCTCTCTCTCTCTCTCTAATTTTTTTTCCCTTTAAAAGCAGCCACAACGGTTCATCCCCGCTCGGGCAGCGACATCTCATCCCCATTCCTGCAACAGCATTTCCAACAAGGGCAAAGACTCCTCAAATATTTCCAGAGGTATGATGGTCTCTTATTAGTTTTTTTCTCTCCCTTTTCCTTTGAAAAATTGACTAGAATTACTGGTGTAGATTCTTGAAGTTGGATTGGAATGAATTTTTGTGGGTTGCTTTTGTTTTAGTTTGTTCTTACCTGATTAGGGTTACATTTGATTTGATTGATGCTAATGAATTAATTTGGCTGCTGAGTTTTGGGGGTTTTATGATTCTTGACTGACAAATTAATATGCGTAAGCTGCGAGGGATGGACTGTGATGTTGTTCCAGCAGCATTGGCTCAAGATAATTTGGCTGGTTGATTTTTGTATGTCAACTTCACATTCTTTTGGGGTACTTAAGGACACTATCTTAGAGTTTGAAGGTTTACTTGGTATTTGACCTAATTTTCAAGAATATAATGTGTTTCTTGCTGTGTTTGTGAGGAGTTAAGAAGCGAACTTTGTTCTATTTTTCGGATGCCTAGAGGTTCCTTGAAGTATTTAGACTGCAAATTTTCTAGAGCAATGTTGGACAAGGTTTAGAATCTTTGTTTACTTTATTTAGGCACAATCACTTGGACAGAGGAGGTTCAGTGGTGGTGCAAACACTGTAGCACAAACTCCTTTGGTCACCCGGTTAAAAGGCTCGCTTTTTCTATGACAATCTACTTTCTTTGGCAGGCAAGGAACAAGTGTATTTTTCGGCATTTGTAACCTTCAACTGTGGTTGTAAGTTGCTGCTGTAATTAGTATTTAGTGCCATGCAGTTGCTTGTTGCTTCCTAGAGTAAGATTCCATACACTAAAGAAACTGAGAGTTGGCAATATATTGAGGCATTAGATCATAGCTGTTTTCTTTGTGTGTGAGAGAATCTACAGCAAGATATAGAGAACATATTATGAGGCATCGACTGATTAGGCCCTGATTATTAGTTGCATGTGTGTGCAAATAATGGAATTCCATGATTTCAAGTTCCAATTTCATCAACCTGCACTTAAGACCAAATCAAATCCAGACCCTAAACTTAACGTCACCACCAAATCCTCTAAAACGCAAGTCAAATCTTCAATATAGACTTAGACACCTGTCAAAAATATTGAAGTACAAGTTATCAGAAAATTTTGTGTATTTTGAAATATGCAGAAAGAGATTTTTACTTAATTGTCCATCTTCATGCTTTACTTTCTTTTGTTCAAATGGAAAAAGGGTTAACCCAAATTCTTCATTATCCCTAGCCAGGAAGTGAAACTAGACATACTTTCAAGCTTTCTATGTTTGCTTTAATTATTCCTTGGATAGAAATGTCAAATACATCCAATATCAATAATGCCTAGTAAATAATTTATATATGCAGAAGTTTACCTGACCAGGACAGTTGATGTTATCTAGGTAATAGTTCTGGTCAATAATGATGGGGTTTTGGACATTGATCATAGTGGCTTGCTGGAACAAAACATCCTTGACAAGACCTTTGCTTGGCCTACCCCATGATTTAATCCTTGCACCATTATGTGTATTCCTGAATGTAACAGTTTTTACTGTCACATTCTGTACTCCTTCTTCTTCAAAATCATTTATTTTTATGTCGGATGCCCAGTCAAAAATATTGAAGTAAAAGTTATCAGGAAACTGCACAATGATCTTTTTGCACCATGATCATGAGGAATTTCACTAATCTATATTAGTTTCAGAATATACTTTTATGTCTTGAAATGATGGTAATTTATCTGCCACTAACTTGGTGAACCATTTAATGAATCTAGATGCTGAAACAAGGCCTATCGCACTTTTCTTTGCCCCTGCCCCCCTTTTTCTTTCTGTCTTTCTCTCTTTATGTATAAGTGTTCTGATTCTCATAGTTGTAACTTTAATTTACTATCTTTAATTGCCACAGTTCACTTAATTAATGATTATGTGCATGCAATCAATTAATAATTATATTAAATTTTCATAGATGGATCCCAGTAGTGATGATGATGAGAATGCTATCGTAATTGGTGCTGCCACTTCAGTCCTAGCAGCAGGATGCGCAGCTTTTGAAGCCTATAAAACTCCAGTTGTTATACCTAAACCACCTTATGTTAATAGGGAGCGAGTTAGGGAGGATTACATGGATAGCATATTATATGGAAGTAGTTCCTATTGTATAGACCAAATTAGAACGGACCAAAATACATTTTTCCAATTACTAAATGCTATCACAATTAGAGGATTGTTACAGCCTACCATTCATATGTCAGTAAGAGAACAGTTGTTAATGTTTCTGCAATTAGTTGGCTATAATTTGAGGTTTCGAGTGGTTGGGGGGGGGTTGGGGGTACTTGTATAGGTCAACTGCAACCATACACCGCTATTTTTCCATTGTACTTGATGCCATATTGAAACTATAGCCAGATTTAATACAATTGCCAAATGGTGCAACTCCACGAGAGATCCGTAATAGTCGAAGATACTACCCCTGGTTTGCTGTAAGTTCTGTTCTTTGTATAAAAATTAATTAACTTAGATAATAGAAACTATTTTATATCTAATTTAAATCATAAAATAGGACTGTGTAGGGGCTATAGATGGGACGCATGTTGTTGCAAGTGTACCTCTTGGAATTCAAGAAAGATTTTGAGGTCGAAAGGGTTACCAGACTCAAAATGTGTTAGCTGTTATTTCTTTCGGCCTCAAGTTTTCATACGTGCATTCTGGTTGGGAAAGATCAGTACACGACTCTTGTGTTCTTGAAGATGCTCTTGCAAGATCGGGGGTCTTCAAGTACCCCCAAGACACTTGTCTTAATTTATGTGAGTCATAATTATGCAAAACGCCGTTAGATTAGGCAAAAGTAACTTTTTTTTTTAATTTTAGACAAGTACTATCTTATAGAAAAGAGTGCAATAGGAATTTTACCCTTATTTCCCCCCGCACAAACAGTTATATTTGACCAAAGTCTTGACTCTTTTTTTCGTTGAGGGGTTTATTTGCGTTAATATGTTTTTTTTTTGTCAAAATGATAATATGTTATTAAGGAGCCAAAAGAGTGCAATAGGAATAATTTAGGGACCAGGTGGATAGTTTCCTGTCTCGTGATGTTCCTTCCTCCATATTTTACTTCTTCCTTCTGTTATTGAACCTGGAAACACCATTTTAGAATCTCAATCAATTGGTCGATGTGTTGCAGATTAGGGGATCTTTTTATTTTCTCTCGAAAATTACATCTTCAATTTAGATTTTTATTCAAAAAATTCCAGAATAAGTGACTGAACTGACATGATTTTTTTGAAATCAATTCAGTTTTCTCCTCTTGTGTGTTTAATGGCTTCATTCAAAACCTTTTCAGCCATGAATGATGACTTATTCAATCTGCGATCATAGAGTAGAAGAGCATCCTCATAAATTTGTCCGATTTTGCTGGCAAATTTGCATGTGGGTCTTCTCGTACACTAGCTTTTGAGAAGGTTAGTTTCTGGCTATTAAATTTGCTTTATTTTATTGGTATCTATGGGATTGGGTGTTGGATTCTTGGATTCTCTCTATTTTTTTTCCTATGGGTAATAAACGATGCATAAAATTAAATAACCGATGAATATAGTTCTAGGTGGTTTCTCATTGTTTCTTGCAATCTTTTGTCAAAAAAAAAAGAGGGGATTCTGATTCCTGAATTGACTCAAGGAGACTCCGGTTAGACTCAGGGTGAGTCCGATTCCCACTGATCATCTATTGTGTCTTGTCTGACTTTAGTCAACTCAGACTTGGACGATTTGGTGAAATACTAAAGAACAACAAATCAGATAAAAGAAGCAGTAATTAGTAATTTTTTGGGTTAACTATTTTTGGGCCTTAAAAAAATGAGTACAACATAATCTTTTATTTCAATCATGAACAGGTTAATTTGCTGCAGTGATTTATATGGTAGTGCAGTTCTTTGGAGATGACAAAAAAAATTGGTGATCAAGCTGGCAAAATGTTCGAATATTTTGGGACTTTCTTGAGAAAAGGTATTTTTTCAGTTCTTTCGGTTGGACCTGTTCCTGATCACATTGCATTTATTATGGATGGAAATCGAAGATACGCTAAGAAGAGGAATTTGTTAGATGGTGCTGGCCATAGGTCTGGGTATTTAGCTCTCATGAACATGCTTAAATACTGTTATGAGTTAGGTGTGAAGTATGTTACAAATTACGCCTTCAGCATTGACAATTTTAGAAGACGTCCTGAAGAAGTTCAGTCCACTATGTAGTTGATACTAGAGAAAATTGAAAATTTGATTAAGGAGGAGAGCATGGTCAATCAGAACGGCGTTAGGATTTACTTTCTAGGTAGTCTTAAACTTTTGAGCAAGCCTATAAGGTTGGCCGCAGAGAGGGCCATGGTTGCTACTTCTGGGAATTCAAAATCTGTGCTGTCAATTTGTCTTGCCTACACTTCCTCAGATGAAAATTTGCATGCTGTTCAAGAGTGTTGTGAAGAAAAATGGGATGAAGGGAGTGCATTGGAGTCAAAAGGAGCTGGAAATGGTTTTGTTTTTCTGAAAGGAAACAAGAATGGCAAGATCAAGCCTTCAATCGTAGTCAAGGATTTAGAGAAACATATGTATGCTGCAGTTACACCTGATCCTGATATAATTATATGTACTTTTGGTGAGACTCGATTGAGTAACTTTCTTTTGTGGCAAAGTGCTAACTGTCTTTTATATGCACCCCCTATACTTTGGCCAGAGATTGGTCTTTGGCATTTGGTTTGGGTGGTCTTGGATTTTCAAAGAAATTTCTCTTATTTGAAGGAGAAAACTAAGCTATCATAAGTTAGTTGGTAAGAGTTTTGTTACTATTTTTGTAACTCATTATATGGTTTTGTTGATTGGTCTTTTAACTGATTTCCACTTTCATGAGACAAAAACAAACAGGGGACAGAATTTTGTTTTTGTGTCCCTGTCCTCAATATAGTGATGACACATTTCACAGATGTAGGGGAATATGGCGTTTAGTTCCTAACAGGATCAGATATAGTTCTCCATATATGGTGTTATTAGAATTCTGTTGTATCTTTGTTTTTGCAGCACGGGATCTATTGTACTGTGTACTTCACAAGTAGAAAGGATTTTTTCCACTTTTCAGTTCAGCTTGGTGAATTATTATGAAAACGTAAGAGTCTTTTACCTTTTTTTTCTTATTTTAATTGTGTTTTTTATTGTGACTTGTATATTCTGGATGGGCAATTTTCTATGCATTGTATCTTGAAAATTTTGAAAGTAGATGGATGATACATAAAGTTTCAATTTTAGTTGCATTCTGTTATAATTCGTCTTGATAGCCCTCGAAGATCTGAAAGTGCACATCTTTATTGAATAAGATATCTTTGGAAAATACATAAAATACAAAGCATGCATCAGTAGCATTCATCAAGATATCTTTGTTTTCTGTGCACTTCTGCTATGCCTAATTACAATAGCATGCATCAAGAAGGCAATAGAGCCAGCCTAATTACAATAGCATGCATCAAGAAGGCAATAGAGCCAACGGAACAGCACCTTGACAGCCTGCATACTATGATGGTAGTATGGGGCACTTTATTAGTTACCAAGCAAGAGAGTAACACCCATAGAGCAGTCCATTTATCTTCGGAGGCAGGGAGGAATGGAGCATTTCATGGTCCTCTTAGCTTGCTAAGTACTAATATTTGGTATTCTACATATCTTAAAATAGTTCCTTTTTTCGGCTAAGCTAAGTGAAGGAATGGACTGAGCGGCTCATTTTGACCATACAATCTTTCGCTTTCTTTGCAAGCTTAGAACTTAGGTGTAGAGTTCAGTACGCCCTTGAATCCTAACCCCATAAAATTGTGCATGAGGGTTGCAAGTGTTGCGTGTTTGAATTGTTTGTTAGGAAAAATATAACCAGCTTAGCAGCATTGGTAACTTCTTAATTCAACAAATGCTTTCCACTCCTTTTTTTTTTGTTTGGAATTCTGTAAATCCTTTCTAGAACTCTCATGAAAAGGCTTGATAAAGATTTATATTTAATAATTTCTGTTTGTATGGGACATGAACATGACTATTCCATAAGACAGTCTAATCATAGCATTTTTTTTAAATTATTGGTTTTCAGTAATTATGTTTAATAATTTCTGTTTCTATGGGACATGAACATAACTATTCCATAAGATAGTCTAATCATAGCATTTTTTTAATTATTGGTTTTCTACTGACCTATTTACACCATATCAGCTTTATTTTTTCAATTATTGACTTTCTACTGACCTATGTACACCATATCAGCTTCACAAAAAATACGAAAGCAAATATTTAAAGTCAGAAAAAAATTCAAGAACCAGAACACTAATCAAGTAATGAAGTAATGAGCGGGACCAATTGAAATTGAGAAGTTCCCGGCCGGGTTTTAAAGATGAATGAGGAGAGAACAAATGCAAAAGTAAGGCTTATCCCAACATGAAATCATCCTCATAATTTAGTCAAAAGGCTTATCCCAACATGAACTCAACCACATAATTTAGTCATCACTCACTTCATAACAACTAATAACCCACATCATAATTTTAGCATTTGATCATGAAAAATACAATATCTAACTAAATCAAAATCAATTACAACTCTAAAGTCAAAAGATGCATAAGATTGAGCCAAGAATCTAATTAATCCAACCCAAGTCATGAACTCAATCTCTCGAAACCAAGTAAACCAAAAATAAAACCAAGCAACTAAATCTTTCCTTGATTAGTTGTTGAGTTTAGCATCCAAACCCTCCTTTATCTTGTTGATTAAAATCACCCCAAAATCACACCTTGATTGGAAGAGAGAGAGAGAGAGAGAGAGAGAGAGAGAGAGAGAGAGAAGAAGAAGAAGAAGAAGAAGAAGAAGAAGAAGAAGAGGATTCGATCGAAAGGGAGAAAATACGAAAAAATTGGGAAAGTCCCTTGATAGTCAAATCTCACTACGCTAGTATCTTCCAATATTTTATTTAACTATAGTTCAACCCCACAATTTTCCTAAGCTTATCAATTTGACCCTCAAACTTCTACTTCTTTACTTAAGACCCTAAAAAGAAAACATAGATATCACAAAAGCATGAGAGGTTTTAAGTTCAAAGAGTGAGGCCAAAACTATCTTCTATTAGTTTCAATAGAACGTGCGGCAACAACTCGAAACACAGAATAAAATAGAGGCGGGAGATGGACAAAAAAATGCCAGAAATCCGAGTGCCGTAATTATGCGGCTATACCATAGACAAAGGAGAAATTTCCACAATTATGATGAAATCCTAAATCATCCTACAACAAAAATGATTTTGGCTGCATGCTAGAGGAGAGGTGCTTACATTCCGGAAATGAATGTAGATAGAGCATCGACTCTATAGTTTAGAGGTTTCTAGATGTGCTCTTCATTCCTCATGTATCCAGTAGCCCACATTGCTAGGATTATTTTATTGTCTTCTACATTATTCATAACAGCCTAAGTGCAAAATTGTATAGGGGTAGGACCTTGAATTGTAATATGAGGAGAGTTTTCGGCTCCTGAAGATTGATTAATGTCTTAAGTACTATGCAACTTGTGTGTTTGTTTATATAGCTCAATTTTGCCGAATAATATTTCGCTTGTTTCTTAAATATATTTTCCAATCCACTTTTTTATGTCACATACATTATATCATAAAAAGTGTTACAGTATTTATTCTAAATAATATTTTAAATAATACTCTATCCAAGCACTTTAACTCTTGTATCCCACCTTGCATTACTAGCAATATTTCGCGTGCTTTGCACACGATTTTATCATCGTAAAATATAGTACCGTTAGATATTAAATTTTTTCTTAATTTTGATTGTCAATTGCATACTATAATATTTCAATATTTTTATTGTTAACCAATTCTGTTGAATGCATTAAGTCATAATTTGACTTTTTTTTTTTTTGCCTTTAGAGAATTTATATATTTTAATTGTGACAAACAAATATCAATGCAATCATGTTATATGAAAGTTATTGTACACTTTTAATATCATTATAATTAAACTATATAAAGGGTAAAATGTACCATCAATTTTAAAAGGAATAAGAGCAAATGAGTTTGTTTATATTAATTATGTAATTTAAACTCAACTATCATATTAGGGTCAATTTTAAAACTCCCCCTAAAGTATATCTATATTTTCACTTTGCCCCCAACATTATTTTTTTTCACTTCATCCCCTAAACCGTTAATTGACTCCTATTTTGTGTGATGGTAACGTCAAAAGGATATTTATACCCTTAATAGTTAAATGCAGTAATTCTCCTATCTTATTTTACATTTTATCCTCTAACACTATTTTTTCTCAATTTGTTTATTTGTCACTAAAATCTTTAGTCAACTCCAATATTTTATAACATGAGGACAAATAATGTCTAAAAAATTAATATCCCTGGCATAGCATAAAAAAATTATGTGTTTGGATAGGATTGGAATAATATTTTGAAAAAAATATTGTAGCAGTGTTTTTAATGTGATGTATGTAAGATAAAAAGATGGTTAAAAAGATTTTAAAAAATAGTTTGAAAATGTGTTTGTAATGCAATCAAAAAAATTTTGGCACATAAACCACTGTCCAAACATACTATATTTATAGATATGGTCCTAATAAATTTCATCCCACCTCTTTTAGATTGAGAGAAACATCTTACTAATTTCATGTAATAATGGGAAAAATAACAAAATTTGTTATTTTGAAAAATTAATATGTGAAATTATTATCAAAAGTGTAAAAATGCTTGCATATTGTCTGTTTCTCTTTATGAATATGCGTATAGTTTTGCTTTTATTTTAATAGTTAGATATTTTCTTTATGTGGGTGTATACATTTTTTTGTTAGTAATACTTAAAAAATGGAGAAGCATGGTTGATTTGGCTTTCAAAATTTTTGGGATCGTTTTTTAATATAGCATGATTATATGCTATTAAAAATTGTTTGGATTTCAAAAAAAATTTTGTTTCATCATAAGCATGTTTTTCAATCATCTTTTTATTTTTTTAATCACATTTTTATTTTACAAATATCAAATTGCAAAAAGTATTACAATATTTTTTTAAAAAAATTTCAAATAATCTTCAGTCCAAACAAACTCAATCTATAGACCTTTAATAATGTTTTTATTGTTTATTATTTCACTATAATTTTTATTTTCCCCCTTAATATGTAAAATGAGCAGGATATTTTTCCTTTATTTAAAAACCTGTAATTATGGGGATAAAATTTAACAAGACCTATATTCATAAATATACAATAATTTTTATTATTATGTTAGGGATACTGATTTTTTAAATATTATCTGTCTTGAGTGGTTGTAGGGACAAACAAACAAATTAAAAGAAAAATGATATTAGACGGTAAAATGCAAAACACGCTGAACCTTAAAGGGATTTATTGGAATTAATCCTTTGGGGTATAAATGTCTTTTTGACATTTTCATTACACAAGGTTGGAGTTGACTAACGATTTACGGGATACAGTGAAAAAATAACGTTAGGGGATACAGTGCCAAATTAGTTAAACTTTAAGGGGAGTTTTTGTGATTAACCCATTTCTCTCTTCATCCTACTCCCGACAAACTCACTCCAGCTAAAGTTTGAATTGGAAACGTCAAACTTGAACCCTTAAAAAGAAAAGTAGATTTGACTAAAATACTAAATAGTTTAACGCACTTGTTTCCATGTTCTTCTATTATTATTTTCATGCAATATTAGTTTTATAAATGATTTAATGAAATGGCTCAATGCGAAATCAAATGCATGTTTCTTAATTTGAATAGATATAAATTCTCTACATATGACTCTTTATAAATTTTAAGTGTTTTTTCTTCTTTTTTTTTTGTTTTAGGTCAATTCAAGACATCATAGAGAATTCCATGACTAAGTATTAATCGATAGAGAATTCAAGACCTAGTTTGTGTTTGTTTGGATGTAAAGTGTTTTCCTGAAAATGTTTTCCAAGAGTACCTTTTTTTCTTTTTCTTTTTTTTTTTTTTGTTTTGGGTCAATTCAAGATATCATAGAGAATTCCATGAGTATTTATTGATAGAGAATTCAATACCTAGTATGTGTTTGTTTGGATGTAAAATGTTTTCCTGAAAATGTTTTCCAAATTTTCCCGTGCTTGGTTATCATTTATCTTGGAAAAAGATTAACGTGGAGAAAATATTTTGCTTCATTTGGTGGAAAAAAACTTCCCCTTTTGACTTACTGAAGTTATTTTCCTTCATTGAAATGCATGACTCTTGCACTTTACAATACAGCTTGCTATGCCAACATTCTAGCAGAAACAAAGAAAGACTTCGCGGCTAAATATACAGAGAGTGAGCGATGGTGATTGGAGAGACTAAGAAATCACCAACAATATCATCATTTTCACGTAATACTGGTTCAAAATTCTTTTTCCAAATCATAATAACTAGGGGATTAATTTCATTCCTTATAAAATCAGGAGGGGGTTGGCTAATTTCATAAATGGAATTTCTCTTCATAACAAATTTAATTTATTTTGATGTTCAATTTTCTTCTATATTTCTATTTATATGTATAAAAAATATGTATTGTTATATATTCAGCTAACCTATTACGGCACCCAAGCTTAAGGATAGCAACAAGGGCACTTCGCCCCGTCCCTCGCATGCAAAATATATATATATATATATACACACACACATATAAGTAAAGCTACAAATATATGTATAATACATATATATACACAATAAAATAATTTAGTTATAATCCAATTTTTTATATTTAATAAAATAATTGATAACATAATTGTGAACATACGATTGTGACTCGGTCCTATTATATTTTAGTCGGATGTTTTAATGTCATTTTCATAATATTGACATGTTGCTAATATTCTTAGTTGTTATTATTTGCAACCCATTAAATGATCTAAAGTAAAGCATTTGAACATATCTTTATTTAATATTTGAAATAGAATAAATAACAAAATTGTTCCGTAAAAAAGTAAATTGTTAAACGTTGTAAATTGATTTCTTCCCCTATAGAGGACCACGGGGAAACGGGACAGGGGCGGGTTGGCGGGCGGGGCCTCTCCATTGCCATCGTTACCCACTATAACTAAAATTCGGTGCTACTCTTTTTGCCCCCTATTAAATTTTAATAGGTTTTATTCCTCTCCCACTCCTCTCTTAATCTAATTCTAACCTAGCTTCCTCTTTTTCTAGTGATTAGAATGGGTTAAAATTTTCCCTTTCAATTGCAAAATTTAGCCATCCTTTACTCTGAACCATACTTCATCATCTCAATTCCCTCTCTTCGTTACAAAGGATCAAATTTTTGTGGAGAATTTTCTTGTCCTCTTTGTATTTCTCTCAACCCTCACTTACAGAATATTTAATCAGGTTCGACGGTCTCACTATTAGTCCTTTCCCACCCATCCCTATTATGTAAGTGCATGTTAAGATTAATTGGCATCCTCATGTTTCTGATTTTTATTTTCTTTGTTTTTAATTTCTATTGTGTTCCTCTCAAATAAAACTGATTATTAGTAAATTAAATTTGATTCTGAGATGAGGAAAAAAGGGGGCTAAGGTTACTTACTTGCTAGGTATTCCATTTGCAAGTTTCTTGAGAATTTTTTGGTTCACATGTATGTTAAATATGTGCTGATTCTACAACACTTTCTCATTTGGTAATTTGCTATATGCTAATAAAAACAAGTGTGGCTAGTGGATTTGCCTAGAAACATAGTAGTTATTTGGTTTTTAGCTATTGTTGATACCAATACTGATATCTTTGTTTAAGATTGAAGAATTGGTGTTAGTTCTATTCGTTTACACAATATAAAGAAATGGGTCAACAAAAAGTCTATTCATGTATGCAATCCTTATACATTTTCAAAGGAACCAGGTTTCTTGCTAATGATGTCTTTAAGTGTGTCTGGTGGATTTACCAAGAAGCTTAGTAGTTGATTTGGTTTTTAGCAATTACCAATATTGATATCTTTGTTTAAGATTAAAGAATTATTATTAGTTCAATTTGTTTACACAACATGAGAAATGGGTCTATGAAAAGTCTATTTAAATATAGAATCCTTATGCATTTTCAGTGGAAGGTTCCTACTTAGTTCTTGAACATATTTGGAATGGTAATAAAATGATATTATGTAATTTTGTTAGATTATGAGCTTCTTGATTGGTTATTACTTATGTCAAGTCTACATCTAAACATATAATAATTTATGAAAACCTTAGAATTCAAATTCATCTAAAAACCCCAAATCTTAAAATTTTATGGTCCTATGGTCTTGTGGTCAGTGTAAAGCTTAATTAGAACCTGTAGTCTTTTATTGATGCCACAAAAGCACTTGATTTCCACCCTTTGGAAAATGTGGAAGTAGCTACTTGTTGAGGTGTCAACATGGTTTCTGACTTGTTAACATTTGCATTATTGGTATTGAACTTGATATAGAATGCTCTGCTGTAGGATTCTAATGCAAAGTGCATCTTACATACATAGCATATATCAATGGTGTTTTAAGTTTAAAACAGAAAAGAAAGGTGAGCAGATAAAGAATTAGTAGAACTCGAAAAGTTAGTAGCAAGAAGAATTAAGTTAAGAGTTGCTCTATAACTAAAGCAAGGATATGATAATTAGTATATGTTCTCATTTGTTATGGATAACTACATACATGATGATTGTTAAAATGCCACTTGCTGTACTTGTGTAATTTCTTTTTTGCTTCTTCTTTAATGTACACCCGTTATACCTCAAGATGATAATTCAATATTTTTTGGAGATTGAAACTAGTGGTACTGGAAATTGCCTATAAATGCTTATTTTTTATGAAACTCTTCCATTTAGTTATTGATCTATAATATGATTTTGTGCATTTTCTTTTCAATCAATGAGATTAGAATGTAAAGCTTCTTGGTAATATTGGAAAGAGCTCAAATTTTCAGTTCGGTTAGTACTCCATACAAACTTAGCTATTCTTTATTGTCTAAGAATGATTAGTCACATTGATATCTATGACTATTACATCATATGCCGACATGTTTGTGATGCAAGTATACAATAGTTTTCTAATATGTTACAAAATTTTCATTTTTTCTGAAACTTGTTGGAGTATAATAAGAGTTGGACAAATTTTTGAAGAAAAAGTGAAAAGCACAATACAGGACTTATTATATTCATAAATTCTGTAGTGGATGCAACTCAAAATTGGCATTTATCATTCATCTACTTCATTTAAAATGTCTTGGTAAATTGAGTAATAAAATTTTTGGTATACTCTTGGATTTGTTGAAGGAAACATTTCCCAAAGCCGTGAGTAATTTATCGTCATCTTATTATGTAGCTGATAAGTTGATCAATTAGTTTGGTTTCGAGCATGAAAAGTATGATACTTGTGCAAATGATTGCACTCTTTATTAGGGTTGCGATAAAGAAAGAATTAATGTGAAGCATGCAATAGAATTTTTTGTGAAGCATGCAAAGAGCTTAGGTTGGCTGTCTCGAAAAATGATCCAACTGGTGAGAAAAGAAAATTTTCTCGTAAAGTATTGTGGCATTTTCCCCTTGAAGCTAGGTCACAGAGACTTCTGATGTCCTCTAAAACTACATCTCACATGAGATGGCAGAAAGAACAATGTACAAAAGATGGTTATATTATACACACATCATGTGACGCCCCCACTTCTCCCAAGGGCGAACCCAAGGGTATCAACAGAACGCCTGCCTAATTCTCGCCAGGACTCACTACAAAACTCAAGCATAAATATAATCGATCATTCTTAAAAGTTCAAATGGAGTATATTATATCCACCAATCCAACATACCAAAGTACAAGTCCAATACTTCATCTAAATTTTCATAATAATAATAACTTAAGTACAATCCTTATGTTTGCAATTCAAATCGTTCTTACAAAAGTATAATCCCCAAAATATCATGAGGTTTACATTCACTTCAACCACAAGTACATCATACCATAAAGTTCAAAAATCTTTCAAAATAACCATTACATTCCACAGAGAAAATCAATCACAACCCAGATAAAGGATAATCCACGGTACTCGAAAGCCTTGTGCTTGAGTAACTATCATTCTCGAGCCCTGCCTAAAACTAAAATATTTTTGGGGTGAGCTAAAGCTCAATGAGGTTTCAAAAGGGAAAATCAAGTATTTATAAATCAGTGCGTAATTGCTATTTTAAAATCACATGGACAAATAGGACTTTTGCTAGCAACTTTACTATGAGTACAGCTCATAAATCATTTAAAATTACTAATGTATATTTGGAATGAATGACCATGTAAATGTATTTTCATGAATTTTTATAGTCAAACAAATAGCGGCTCGTCCGACTAGAAGAACATTACAAGGATTGCTTCGTCTCAGAGCTTAATGTTCATGAGGAGTCTTACCCGACAAATGTCAACTAGGAGAGCAATAACAGTAGCAATAGTAAAGCAAACACAAAAGGATACAGTACTCGGTCCACTTCCCGTCCTTATAACTCCCATCGGTAGTTCCTTTGGTTGACTGGCCATCACCTTATCCCTCCAGCGGTAATACTCAAGTATACCAAAATACAGTGCCCAGGGTTATCAACCTATCCGACCGAGTCCGCTTCTGGCTCGAATAGGTGATAACGAAGGGGGGAAGTCCTTGTTCTGCCGATGTGATAAAGTACACATGGCCTACAGCATACACAAGTAACACATAAACAATGAAATATTGAACAGTTAAGTGATACAGCAACAGTTAGGTCGAGTGCGATAAAGTACACACTCGCCTAGGAATAATTATTTATCATTCAAGTGAACAAGATTCATCAAGTATTTGACTACTTAGGCATGTAAGAAGAACTTATCAAGTCACATCACGTATATATATATATATATATATATGCAATTATACAAACAGTGGTTATAAAAGTTCGAGAAGCAATTTTTTTTTTGTGCAAAACAGTTTGGAATCCCTCACCGTAATCCGGAGCAAAGCAAGAGCAACAGCAGGAAATTAAAAGAGCTTCTCGGTGTCCTCTAGATCACCTGAGATTAATCACAATCACGAATTACCTAGATGTTCGATCAAGGTGAATAAAAGAAAACCTCTTAGATACACACACTCAAGAGCCTCAAGCTCAAACAAATCGAAATAGGAAGTTTTCACTTAATCATTGGAATAATAACTAAAAGGAATTTAAAGTCCCATTTTCGAGTTAAATCGTGGCAAGGACTATCAATTCCAAAAGAAGAGTAAAATGCTTAAATTTGGCACGAAAATCGAGAAAGGAGAAAAATGTGTTCGTACTAGAAAATCTTCAATAAAAGCCCAAGTGTAAGAATATAAGTGAAAAATCATGTTTTCTAAACTTACGAAGCCAAAGTCTTCTTACAATCACCCTTTTTTTTATAATAAATATGGAAGTTAAAGTTCTAACTTTCAAATTGGAAATTTAGTGAAATTCCTCAAGGATTTCTCTAGTTAAAATGCTCAAGGCCAAATTTTCAAGTGTTTCGGTTTATCGAAACCAACATTCAAAATAAAGTTCCAAATTATAAGTGAGAACCTTTTCACCATAAAAATAAATTTGGAATATCCCAAGAGTCTCAAAAGCGTTACCTAAGCTCTTAAAAGAGCAAGTAGGTTCAAATCGGAAAAATTTCAGTTTTACGCATGGAAATTTGAAAAATCAGTCCGGAAGTCCAGAAAGTCCAAAAATGGAAAACTTGATACTGTTGGAAACCTCTTTGAAATTACTAAAAGTTCTTAGAAGACACTTTTCCATGATTCCAAACCGAAGGTATTCAAAAATTGGCTCAAATTTACTGTTTTGGGCACTCAAGACAGGTTTAAGTTGATTTTTGGCCAACTTTGAAAATTCGGCAAAATTCACTTGATTTGAACTAACCTCTAAAATTTGGAACTCTATCAGAGTTGCAATCCAGGTTTAACACAAAATAAACGGAACAAGAATCAGAGTTTTGAGCACCAAGATATGATAGCTCAAAGTTGCCAAAAGTTTCTTGTTAAACAAGGGTTTTCAAAACTTAAATCATGAAATTTGGAAGTTCAGTTGAGCATTGAAACGGCTTCGGAATAGTACCAAATTTGGTATGATTATAGTACCATATAAGGTCTATTCATCTACCAAATTTCATGGAGAAATAAGTACAGGAAGTCACTTAACTAAATCACTCAATTTCCCAAGATTTCAAGGCAAAGCTGCCTTGTGCATGGAAATTTCCTTTTCTAAACTTTTGACCAAGGAAAATGCCTAAAACATGTCCCATTTATGATGATCAAATCTAGTAAGGGTTCAAGGCATATTTGATAGGTGATTTACACCAAAAATTTCGAGTACAAGTCCCCAAACCAAGATTTGTTAAGGATTAATCCAAAATGAAGAATTCCATCACTAAGTCAGTCCCAAACTTTGGCCGTAACTCATTCAATTCAACTCAGAATTGAGCGTGGTTAGTGGCGTTGGAAAATAATTTCATAAAGCTAAAATTTCTCAGAAGAAACCATTTTCAAAATCCATCCACAACTAGCTCACATTGGAGCATCAAATTGTAGTTCATGTTCTGCCCTCTGGTAAACCAATGAAACAGGACAGCAAATTTCAAACGAATGGTTTGGCTCACCCATGTGGAACCAGAATGTGAATTTTATACCAATGGAAAACTGGGAATGTCTAGTTTCCAGTTCCAGAAACGGCACTCGATTTCGACATCGGAGTAAAGAGATATAGCCGATACAAAATGACTGCCTGGGCAATCCGGGAAAATTTTCCAGTTTTACTAAACTTTGGAAATCAACACATTTGACCAACCAAATCATGTTATTTTTCAATGAAACTTTTTACACAATCCCAAAAACATATATACATCATAAATAAGCCATTAAAACCATGAAAAATCACCCTAAAGGTCACGGACAACTTAAGGGCAGAATCGGAAATTTTTCATCTTCACTTCCCTTTGAGTTTCTACCAACTATACGACATTAATCCACTAGTTTAAGCAATAAACCAACATTAATACCATTAAAACATCACAAATCAGTTCATCCATCCAAGGTGGGAGTTCATAGAGCCCACTCAACAATTTTTCCATCATAAACAAGCTACCCACATGCATGTAAGAGCTTAAATGTGCACTAGAACTTCCATAAATCAAGATTTAGGTAGTTGATCGTTAATTACCTTTGATGATGACTTAAGCAGAAATTTTTGGCCTCTAAAAGCTGAGAAAAACTGTGAGAATCAAGCCTCTTTCCTAGCTTAGGTTGTTCACCAAGTGATTAGCAAGTTGCGTGTAAAATTTGAGGTGATTTGGTGGAGGATTAGTGAAGATTTGATGAAGGAAAATGAAGAGCTCTTGGTTGTTTTTGCCTTGGAGTTGCACATTGGAAATGGAGCTATGAGACGTCAATTGAGGTAAAGGTGTGGAGGGTTTTAATCTAGTGTGATGCTCTCATGAGAGCTTAAGAATGTGTGGCCCAAAATGCTCCAAAAGTCAACTAATGTACGCGCGCTTCGTGCTCGATTCCTCTTGGGTTTATTTCACTAGTACACTAAACCTCTAATACACTTTCACTCATACTATTATTATTCACTCTTAATGGTCTAAAAATAATGATTTAAAATCCCTCAATTAATCGCGCGCGTAAAAACGCGTATTACCGATTGTGCGCGATAAAGTGGAATTTCTAAGAAATTCTTATAACGATAGTATCACTAACTAATACTTGAGCACTTAATCATTAAAATACCTATTTTAAGACTAATGTACAAGTCTCCAATTTTTTTAAGGTTATTGTACTCTTAGTTCGACTACAGTTTCCAAACGCGTACTCACTATTCTCACTTAATGATCTCTGAGAAATAAATTTTGAAATCAAGTCATTTTAAAAATACACTTGAGCCATAATTCCATGTAATTGAAGTAATAAAAGTCAAAATAAAATATTCGGGATAAATGGCAAAAATAAATAATTAAATGAGCTAGAAATAGGCATTTAAAATAAGAAAATTTGCGAGTCCTTACACATCAGATTATCTTGCTTGGCAAACTTTTGACCATCAACATCCAGAATTTGCTAAAGATTGTCGAAATGTTAAATTGGGGTTAGCATCAGATGAATTTAATCAATTTAGAAATATGAATCCTTCACACAGTACTAGGCCCGTGGTCTTGATGCCTTGCGAATTTACCTCCTTGGATGCACATGAAACAACCATATTTCATGTTTTCATTGTTGATACTTGGACCGTAATCTCCTGAAAATAACATTGATATTTATCTACAACTTCTGATTGAAGAGTGATTGAGTTGTGGGATGTAGGTCTTCAAACTTATGATGCATCAAAAAATAGAATTTTCAATTGTATGCGGCATTGAGGCGGACAAATAGTAATTTTCTAGGATATGCAATGTTGTCAAGGTAGAGTACTAAAGGTGAATAAGCATGCCCTGTTTGTCACAAGTTACTCATGCACGGCAGCTAAGCCATGGTCTCAAACATTGCTACTTGGGCATCGTAGATTTTTAGATGGTAAACATAAGTTTAGGAAGGATAGCAATTCTTTTAATGCTTTAGCTTTTTCCTTATCCTTTTCCTTTTGCTTTTCAATGTATTTGCTAAATACATCTTCTGTTTTGCAATTGATCAAGGGTATGTTTGTCATAGCTATGGTTGTTGATTCCAGTTTAGGCAAATCTTTTTTTTTTACCTATATATTCTTTAAAGCTTCTAAATTTTGCTTTCTTCATATTTTCAATTGATTTATGTGATAAGTTTTATTTTTTTTTCATTTAAAAGGTTAAAGGGTCCAATTTCATGGGTAAAAGTAGCTAATTGATACAATTTGACTTGCTATATTTGTCAAATAGATTGAATTCATCTTCCAAAACCAAGTTTTATTGTGAAACTTTTGGACCAGGTATGTACTAATATATGGCTCGTAACCTCACGAATTATTTCATTTTCTCTGGCATTGATACTCTTGCCTGATGGAATGGGAGATAAACAAATCACTCTAATGTGTTTTTTGTGCTAACATCCTTAAGAATTCTGCTGTTTTATCATGTTTTGTTTTTTTTTTCTTTCTAATGTTTGCATATATGTTCTTTCAATTTATTTGTTATATTCTTCTTCTTCTTCTTCTTTTGTTTTTCCCCGCAATCTATCTTGCTGGAATCTTGGGTTTTGACAAACTTTGCTTAGCCACGTTTATTGTTCAGGTGATAGAAAAAGTTATCGGAACTAAACCTTTGAACCATGAAGGAAAATTAAGAAAGTCTTGGGTTTTACACAATAGTAGAGGCTCTCTGCTCAAGCCCAAAGGGTTTCTAGAAGTTATTAAGGTTTAAAACAAGGTAACTCCTATTTCTTTTGGAGCAGAAAAAAAATGGAAATATTACCATGATGCTTGTTTCATTATAAGCTTTTGACTACTGAAGCAATACCAAGTATATAGGTAAACTTCAACTCTGTCCATCCCTGTTGCAACATTTACTTGGACAGTTGGCAAGCAACCTGGTAAAAGTTGAATTTCAAGGGATGGACAATATTGAGCATTGTGACGACCCCACTTCTCCCAAGGGCGAACCCAAGGGTATCGGCGGGCCGCCTGCCTAGCTCGCGCCAGGACTCGAAACTTAAAACAATGAAAGGCAGAAAATCCAAAAGAGTACTATTTACAATCCCAAAAGAGTTATAATTACATTCTCCAAAAGTACCTGCTCTTACTATTACATCCGTATACTTACAACCAAAACCAAAAGGGAGACCCTAAGAAGGGTCCTAATACAAACCACCAGAATAAAAACAAACATCCTAAAAGTTCAACTATTACAAGCCAATCCACTAAACTAGTGTATGAGCCCCAAACGTACCCGCGTCGGCCCCTGCTAAGGAAAACAAACGGAATGGGGTAAGGTAAAAGCTTAGTAAGTAAACAGGGGCAAAAGCGTAAATTTCACGTAGCAACATTTACACAGTAAGAGTAAAGCAAAAGCAGAAAAGTAACATCACATAATAAGGATACGGGTGGCTCCAAAGCCAATTCATTTGCCATACTTGATCTCCTGTCGACACTCCGTCGACCATAAATAAGGTCCGTAGAACTTCACTTGTACACCCACCGACACCTTATCACCCTCACTGGCCAGTCACCTCACAAACTTGCCCAGGCGAACGAAATCACAAACTTGAGCTTTAATCATAAGCTCGGGTCACAAACTTGGTGACCTCAAACCAAGTTGGACTGACTTCGACCAACCCCTAACCGGCTCGAATAGTCCATCTAGGTATTGAGTTCAACCGCAAACTCACAAAATTCACAAAATTATTCAAAAGTCACCCCGAGCCACAAGCTCAAGGGTTTTTGTTCCAAAATTTCTCACATACATATGTCATGTACAAATTGGTGCGTAAATTAGGGTCTAGATCGAGTGCGATAAAGTACACCCTCGCCTAGGTACCCTTTTTACACATAACAAAACACATAAACAACTAACACATAAGAGCGGCCTGAATACTTACTCAAAATACCAAAAGTAGTATAAAGGCGGAATTCACTTTGTGTGTTGGCTAGTAGTGGGCCCCACCGGCACCGCCTAGCTCACCACTGTCTGAAATCGAAGATTATGTCACAATATATCATAAACGGCAACTAACATACTTAAAACAAGCAAAACGGCAAAATTGGCACGCGCAAGTGCGGAAACGGCAAAACGGCCGCACACGTCCGCGTGGAACGGCAAACGGAAATGGCCAAGTCGGCCATCTCAAACCGTTTTGGTCAAAAATTAGGCTAGGAATATCGGATCAAGGTACATGAGGTACCGTTACGAAGCTAAGAGGAAGGGCTACAATGTTCATGAAGACATCGCAACCCAGATCTCAATGGGTATAGGTGAAAATTGCGTGAAACAGTTCCAGCTGTTTCATTACGAGTTACCAAACAGGCCCTGTTTGCAAGGCCGTAACTCACCGCTCAGAAATCGAAATTAAGAAATTCCAAAGGCATTAGAAAGCTGAGACATAAGGATAAAACTTTCATGTTTTGGCCAAGACCTGAATCTATTCAGAACAAAACAAAATTTGAGTGCCAAAGTACCCGTCAGAACTGTCCCAATACAAGGCAGTTCTGACGAGCGATATTGTTTTGATCATAACCGGAGCTACGGAACTCGGTTTTCGACGTACTTTATACCGTTTCGAAGCTGAGATCAAGATCTAAACTTCTTATGAAGGAGTTGGCACCCAGTCTATAAAAATCGAAAAGTCATGGGCAAAACAAAATCAGAAAACGCGTAGAACCAGAGGGTCAAAACAGGCTTGAGCATTTCGTCGATAACTCAGGCTACGCTAATCCGATTGACCTGAAATTTTGCAGGCATACTCAGGACTCAAGGGCTACGACTTTCATGTTTTACGAAACTTCTGAATCAGCACGGAACATTAAGAAAAATGGAGCTCAAGTTCAGGTTCTGGGTTGCCCTGTTTACCCATTTTGCCGGTTTCAAATGTCGCAAACATATGGTTCGTTTTCATGGTTCTTATGCAGGTTTTTCAACCACTTTTGTACCAAATAAACACACATATACTAACATCTAAATGGCCTACAAATGGTCCGAAATTCCCCTCCCAAGTCAATACCAAATTTAACAATCATCAACCACAATCCCTAACCAAATTTCATTTGCACCAATGAACAACTCTAAGGTAATTTGTTATGACTATATACACGAAATGGCTCCTAATCACTTAAATTAGTTTTTATAATATTTAAGAGACTAAAAAACTTGAGAAGTTAAGGTTGTGAAACAAAATTTAATTCACAAACAACCTAGAGCTTAGTTAGTCTTAAAAGGGAAAATGGAGTATCTATAAGCCATAATTAATACTGGATTGAGAAAGTATATTAGTTTAAACATTATACAAGTTTATAAACTTGAAGATAGGTATTTCATGGTTTAAAAATAATAAAGTCAATAAGTTTCGAAAATAAAATGATAAATAAATATTGAGAATGTTATGGTTGTATTTTAAGGTCAAACTCGATTTTAATAAGTTTAAATAAAAGAATAACAAATAATCGACTACAAATTATATATTTACTTTGAACTTATTAACTTGTACTAGGAAGTAGCCGTGAACCAGGAAACCAACTTGAGACTCGAGAGTAGTCATTTGAATCCTTGGTGAGTGTTTTCCGAATTATGTGTTAACTGTTTATGTGTATGTATTATGAATATTGTTTAAGTGATTTGGCCGAAATGCACTTGGAAAGTCCATGACTTGTGGTCTGGAATTGTTTTGATGTCTTGAACTTCCTTTGTTTAATTTTTTATTAGAATTGAA